AATTTTCTCAATACGTCAACTTAAAAATATACTAAAATTCTTTCAATTATAAGGCAAATTAAGATTAGTAGATGTTTTCTTTTTGAACTTGAATTTTATAATTCTTAACATATTTATAATTTTGGATCTATTAATAGGTGATGGTATTGTCCCATGTTCTTCACAATCATTAAAAGATTGACTATCTTTTCTGAAAGGATTATTGTGATCTAAGAACCTAAGATGTCCCCTATTGTTAAGATAGTTACTATTTGCATGCATTACTTTTTTGGCAACTTATAAAGTTTTGATGATTTCAAACATTATTGTTCAAATATGTAGTTATCTCCTAACAATTTTGGAAGAATTGTATTTGCTCTTGTGTGTACTAACATTTCAGGGAAAGAACTCCAGACTACAAGGCTTCAAATTAAAATCAGCATGAGATACCTTGAAATTTTTGAAGCTTGCACTTTGCTTAGAAATTAAATTGAAAGGGAGTGATTGTAACTTGAGTGAATAAAATTCACCCCCCTCTTGGTAGCCTTGGGACACTCACTTAGGCTTAACAACCTAATTACTAGACTCAACACCTATAACATCCCTTACAATAGAAATGTAACCACTCAAAAAATGTATGCTCCTGACTAATGGGACATGAAAATTTTCCTTTTGCACTATAACAAGATAAATTAGCATAACCCGAAAAATCATTTATAGCCCATAATAATGCAGCTCGCATTTGAAAATTCTCTTTAGTAGATGCATCATATATCTAAACACCAATTTCCCATAATTCTTTTAACTTAGCCACAAGTGGTTGTAAATAAACGTCAATGTCATTTCTAAGTTGAGTTGGCTCTGGAATAAGCAAAGAAATCATTATGTATTTTTGTTTCATAAACAATTTAGGTGATAAATTATATGACATCATTATAACAGGAAAAGTACTATGATTTGAAGTCATTGTCCCAAATTGATTAAATCCATCTGATGCTAAACCAAATAATATATTTCTAAGATCTTTAGCAAAATTTATATCTTGGTAGTCTAAGTGTTGCCAGGCTGGAGTGTCAGCAGGATGCCTCATGCAACCATCTTTTATGCGGCCTTCTTTATGTCATCTCATATATGATGCAAACTTTGATGACATGAATAATCTCTACAAACTTAATGTTAATGAAAAGTGCCACATGGCTTTCACTCCAACCTTCTTAGTTTTTTTAGTTGATATATCTTTTGAAGTGTTATCTTTTGCAATCCATCTTGACAAATATGACATTGAATCTTAAATTTATAAGGACCCCAATATAAAATGCAATCATTTTTATATGCATCATATTTTTTATAACTTAAGCCCAAATATTGATTTATCTTCTTTGCCTCTTAATAAGACTTTGGTAGATGAATATCTTTAATTACTTCCCTTAATAATTCAAGCAATATAGTAAATGATTTCTGAGTTCAACTACTAAGGCATTTAAGTTGAAGTAGCCTAATAAGAAAATCAAGTTTAGAAAACTTTTTTACATCTAGGAAATCATTCTTGTTGTGAATTTCTTATCAACTTACAAGACTTGCAGCATCCTCATTTGGTTTATTAATTTCAGCTTGTCCATCTATAGTATTACTTTCAAACCCAAATACATCATTTAATAGCCCTTCCATGTCATCTTTAGCATCTTCAATAATGAAGGAATGTGATCCAATGTCATTTGTAAACGAAGTTTCTCCATGAGATATCTAAAACTTCAAGGGAGGGTGTTAAATCTCGTTGAACTGTCCAAAACGTACCAAAAGATGAGTGAATTGATTCATTTAAAAGCTTTTTTTTATCTTTCAAAAATACTCTTTAAAAACTTAATTATTAAATTCAAATCACAAAGTTAAAATAGATATCTAACAAAGAAATTGACAAAGCTAATGGACGAATCAAGGTGCAAGAGAACTTGGAACAACCTTTTGGAATCCTCTCATACTCCTCCCTCTCACACAACCTCACCTTCTCCTTCTCCAATACCCTAAGACCTCTCACAAAGCTTCCTCAGAATCTCTTCAACAGCCAAAAGATTATTAAGAATCATATAAGAGAAATTTTATCCAAGGCTTTAAAAACCCCTAAAATTTTAATTATGTCACTTCTGTTCATACAATATGATCAAGGATCATATAGTATGATTAGTTTAAAATCAGAATACATCCAGTATGTTGGAACATTTGAAGAATGAACTGTTCAAGTTCTATATATTATTCATACAATATGATTAGTTCAATTATCTTATGATTGTACATGACGATACTGACATTGTATAGTATGATTAGTTCAAAAACTAATATTTCATACTAAACAATCTCTAGGATGATCAAATATAAAATTCGACAAAGCTCTACGGTGCCGCGACACTAGCCATGATGTTCGTTCAGAGAACCCACAGCGCTGACCTTGTACCACTGCACAATTAATTTGCCAAAAAACCTTAGAGCACTTGTTTCACGGTACTGCCAAACCCCGTGCCGCCATGGCCCAAAGAGAAACTTCAGATTTTTCAAACATGTAAACTGACTCTCAAGACCCTCTTTATAATGCATATATACTCTCACATGCAACCAACACATTCTCATAGACATACAGAAGAGTTTAAATGAAAAAATTTAATAACTTATCTTTATTCAGATTGGGTCAGAACATGTTGAACTAAATAGATCGCTGCACCGTCTTCATCATAACCCAATCATAAGAACAAGAAATGCAATTATGATTAATTTCCTTCTTGCAACTCATTAATTTTTTTATTATATCAAAGTTTATTAAATTTATGTACATGAAGATTAATGTTCAATGATGGACTATAAATTTGAATTATAGGATATGGAGCAAAGAGATGGAAGAAATAAGTGAATTACTATTGGTGTTTTGAATTTAGTTCTAATGTTCCAATCGAATACAAATTTGAACTTGTTGTGTCATGGAGTATTCACGGCGGTAGAGAAATATAAAGTTTAACATCTTTGCTTTGTGCGAAGATCCAACATACATACATATAAAGAGAGAGGGTGCATCATTTATAGGAGACACCAATAATTTTTTGTGGAAAACCCTAAAATGATAAAAATCATGAGGCATAGCCCAATTTGAATGAATCCACAAGTATTTGCAGTTGATTACAAGTGAGGCCCTTCCTTGGTGGGAAGGCCTTTGCTTGATGTATATTATATGAAGTACATTAAATGGTGGGAATATAAAGAATCACTATTGACATATTCGTATGGTCGGAAGAACCATAGTCTGGTGACGGAGGTCGAAAGGACTATAGTCGGCGGGCAATGTAAGTTGGAAGAACCGTAGTTGGTGGGCGACGGAGGTCATAATGGCTGTTGTCTGATGATGGAGGTCATAAGGATTGTAGTTGGTGGGCGATGTAAGTCAGAAGGACCATAATCGACAGACGAAGGATATCATAATGACTGTTGTCAGATAACGAAGGTCAGAAGAACGACGTCAAGTATAAATCCAATGATGGACATAAGTTCAACGTTGAATAAAAGGCTGATGGATGTCTAGCGATGGGCAGAAGTCCAATGGAATTCTGGTGATGGATAGAAGTCCGACATCTGACAAGAAATCTGGCGACAGGCGGAAGTCCATCATTGGGTAGGAATCGGTGAAGGGTGAAATTCCGGTGTCGGATAGGAATCCAGCGAAAGGTGTAAGTCTGGAGTTGGGTAGAAATCTGTCGATGGACAGAAGTCTAGCGTCAAATAAAGGTCCGATGAAAGTCCGGCGACTGGCAGAAGTTCGATGTCAGGTAGAAGTCTAGCGTCGGGTAGAAATCCAGCAATGAGCGGAGATCCGGCGTCGGGTAGAAGTATGATGTCAGTCGAAGGCTAGGCAGAACTCTGGTGTCAGAGGACATTCGGGCAGAACTCCAGCGTCGGTAGGCTATCGGGTGGAAGTCCGGCGGTGGTCAAGGAAGAGTCTGGTGATAAGATAGCTCTCTTCCTTCTCTTCCTTTTCTTCCTTCTATTCTTGCTTCCTTGCTTAACTCCGGCGTCAGTTGGTGATCAGGTAGAAGTCCGGCGTCGGTCGTCTTCTAGGTGAAAGTCTGGCAGTGGTTGAGGAGTCTCTTCCTTCTTTTCCTTGCTTTCTTATCTTCTCTTCTTGCTTGGGCCTCCTTCCCCCTTTGGGCCCCCTCTCTATGAGAAATAAGGGGTCTATTTATAGTTTTCTGAGAGTGACATGACAAGTAAATAAAGAGGAGATCAGAGGCAACTGAGTACTGATTTGAATGGACGGCTGATATTGAATCCCTTGATCATGATGCGTTTATTGAAGATTTGAATGTCTTAATGATATCAAAATATGACAAACTTGGGCTTGTTGGATTCGTCTCGTCGAGCCACTCGATTCAGCTATAAGCATGTCACATTTGGAAACCGTTTGGCAATCTAAATTGTGGTTTGAACTTTCTAAATGCGCTTCGGGTCTTTGATTTGGACTTTTTTGAGCTCGAATTGAGTCAAATTTGGTGTCGTTGGGTTCATATTTTTGAGACGTTCAGTTCGACTCCAAACATGCTTAAATCGGAGTTCGGATAATCTCATATTTAATTTTTGAAGTTTCCAACTTGATGTTTGGCTCGAGATTCGTATCCGTTCAAGATAATTTTTTGATGATATATCATAACTAATTGTTGTGTGACTGAGGATTGGACCAAATTCTAATTAGGTTCAGATCTTTTTTTTTCTGTTTTACGTAAATATGAATATATATGTGTTTAGTAATGGAGTTCGTACTTCTGGTTCGCAAACAAATTGTCTTTGTAGTTTGGATATTATTTAGTTTTTATTTTTTAAGAATATTTAAATTAATTAAGATAAATTTATACACATATTATATATTTACTTCAAATTTAAAATTTCTTAATTGGTTGTCAAAATTGTTAACCAACAGTTCAAGAAGTCTGTTTGGTTTTTATTGCCGCGTATGAAGAAATAGTGGTTAGTGAACATGTGGTTGGCAGTTCAGCCCAGCCCAATTTGGCCGACCGACCTTTTACGTCTTCTCTTCTTTAGGTCACCCCGGTCCCGCGACTCGCGAGACTCGCGAATCGCACTTAAGAACTCACCTTCCTCGTAACGCCGTCGTTGCTTTCAGAAGAATCACTTTTGTGCGGCGACACCGGTTCTTGATTTCTTTCTAGCCGGTGCGATTTCTGAAACTGCCCCTTTATTATTACTTATTCTTGGATTTATTAGAACTCTACTTTTCATTAATGGCCGTTTAGGTTTTTATTTGCGATGCTCTTCATGAAATAGATGTCTCTGCGAAATTTTAATTTACTGAAATGGATGTATACGCGAACTTCTAGGTTGAACGGTTGTTCTCTGTGTTTATGAATCCAATGAATTTATAATTTTTTTTTCTACAGGGTCACTAAATGCATGGTGCTCTTGTGTAGGTTCTATTAGTATTAGGGATACTTACATGAAATAGATGTGAACGTGAAAGTATATATCCCTAACTGAGTGAAAGAGAAAAGGATGACAAGTGGGTTGGATGATTGCCCCTTTTTTTTATGAATACTGGTTCTTTAAGTGTTTTTCTGTGGGATCAGTTAATTTTTCTGGCCCTTTTCTAGGTTTTGTTGAGTTTTTTGGGCGAATTGACGCATATGATGTAGAGATGTATAGGGGTTGATTTGAGTTTAGTCCGCCTGTAGTCCAAACCAATTAGTTTGAGGTACCTAGGAAGTCGACTCATCTTCTTATCCAAGAGAGAAGATGAAGACGAATGCAATGAGCTTAAATGACGGAATTGTGTAAAGAATGAGAAATTGAGAGAGAAAAAGAGGGGAGCTAAAAATGCCATGCATCTTTTTTCATATAATAAAATTGTATTTAAATTAAGCTCCATTTCTTTTTAATTGGAGTGTACTTAGTATGTGAGAATTTGTAATGCCTTTATCTTTGATGCTTTTCTTCTAAGAAGTAAAATTTAAAGTTAACTATTCACAATATATAATTATTAATTTTTTATTACGCATTTTGAGGACAAATCTCAAAAAGTTATTGCATTGCACTTGTTGCAATTGTGAGGTTTTTGAAGCATATGCAACTATGCGAATGATGTCTTTTATTCTACTAATTTTTCATTACTAATTGAAGTAGTTGAATCTAATCAAATCTTTGAAAAAATATGTATAAAAAGTAAATTATATTCTTTTATTTTTAACTTAAAAAGCATTCTAAAATAAAAAATATTAAAATATTTTTATTTTGAAATTTTGTAAAGCCTTTATAAAAGAACTATACTAAGGGAAAAAGTTAACAGGATTAATAATGCTTAATTTTTCTAATTTATTAAGATGATAGATAGATGATCAGAACTGCATATTATCTAAAATAAATGAATGGATGGGCATTATAATTTTTTAAGATGATAGACAGATGATCAGAATTGTATATGCTCTATTTTTAAGATATTATATTTTCTTTTTAGTTTATTATATTCTACAGATAAACCATTAAATGCAGCATCTATTTCTTTAAATGTAATATTTTTACATACCTCTTTAGAATCATAATCTAATTCTTCTATAGCCATGAGACATGTTTACTCTTCTTACAAGGTGTTGTAGGTTGATTCATCTCTAGATTTATCTTTAATGCCTTCTTATTTTTCTTGCAGTGCTTTATTTCTTTTTCATCTTTTTTTTTTAAATATGTATGTCCAATTCTCTTATAATAATAGCAAATGGTTTGACATGCAAAATATCTTTTAGTATGAATTTAATGAATCATTGACTAGGTATATCTTTGGTTTTTCTTTCTTAATAATCTTCCCAGCCTCCTTAAAAGCATTCTTACATCATCACTATAAATATTTGAGCTTAAAGTGCTAGGCTCAACACAATCTTGTATCCATAAATCAATAGTCTTATCCTTTTTTTTTCTTCGTCAATCTGTCATTATTGTCCCGTTGTGCAAGTAGTTGTGCATGAGCTATTAAGAACCCAATAAGCTGATCATGTGGATATATAGTTAAATTTTTTGCCTCACTAATGATGTTCACTTTAGCAACCCATTTTTTTAGGTCATATTAGAACCTTATAAATCAGATCTTAGTTTTTATAAATTTGTCCAAGATAATGTAATATGTTGATGATTTTCATGAATCAAATATACATATCATAAATAGATTAAGTGGGTAACTTTTGAAATAACTCATATTCATGTGCTAAACTATTGATACATGCCTTCTTTTCACCTCACTTGTTTCTTCACAAGTCATAATGAGCTTGTTCCATGTTTCTTTAATTATGTTTAATATTAAAATTCTCATATAATCATCACTTACTTTAGTCATTAGGTATGCATGTATATTGTGTAGAAAAATTGAATATATCATAATTCAAGTCTACCTGAAAGATTTAGTTAAAACATTAGATCATCCAAACATGTATTTCTTATCATCAAAATCAAACTAATGAATCGAGGTTCACCTCGTGCGGTTAATAATAAGGGTACAAATTATTGGAATGGAGGATTTGCCTTTTTGGTACAATAATGAGAATTATTATAAGGGAGCAATAGTGAGATCTGCAATGCTTTTTGGTGCAGAATGTTGGATGTTAAAAGAGAAGCATAAAATTAAGTGTTGCAGAGATAAAGATGTTTAGACAAATGAGTGGTTTTACAATTAGAGACAGAATGCGAAACTAGTATATTTGTGATGAGGTTGGAGCAGCTCCAGTGGCAAATAAGATTAAAGAGAATTGCCTTAAGATGGTTTGGTCACATTAAGTATCGGCAGTAGGCATGTTAGATATGGCCTTTGTTGGGAACGGTAGAGGTAGTCCTAAAAATACTTGGCAAGAAATTATTAGAAATGACATTTTTTTTTATTAGACTTAAATGAGAATTTGACTCTTAATAGGATATAATAGAGAAATTTGATTCCTGTAGCCGACCCATGTAGTGGGATAAAAACTAGATGATGATGTTGTTGTTGTAGGATTTGTCTTTTGAAAATGATCTCATTTGAACTGAAGAGTATAGAATGGGAGTTCTTATTGTCAATAACTTCATAAAAGGTTCAACTCACGACAAAGACCGACAATATCAAACATAATTATTCAAGATTCTCTTCTTTCGGAATTTTTATTGCGTCCTTCCACCTGACGTAGAGATACGTCCTCCCAAAGCTAAATTCACGCTAAAAACGAGAAATACTGAGCAAATACCGAGCAATACCAAACAATAACGAGAAATATCATCATGTGAAGACCAATACCGAGTTATACCGAGCTATACCGAGCAATACCGAGCAATACAAAAAAATACCGAGTTTTTTCTAGGAAAAACTAGGTATTTTTTTGTATTGCTCGGTATTGCTCGGTATAGCTCGGTATAACTCGGTATTGGTCTTCACATGATGATATTCCTCGTTATTATCAAATAATACCTAGCAATACCGAGCAAAAATCGAGTTTTTTGGCGGTGGGAGGACGTATCTCTACGTCAGGTGGGAGGACGCAATAAAAATTTCTTCTTTCGAGAAGCACAGGCAGTCACACTTAATAAAGATGGTCAATTGTGGCTTCCTAAACAATTTGTTTCTCATTGAGAATTCTATGTTGCCATGTCCTTCAAAATGATCCATCTTTATTCTATCTCACTTGCTTGGTTATCTGAATAAAACAATTTGGTTATTTCAAGAACTGATTGAATAGAAAACGTTAGGACTGTTAAGGATTTGAATTATATATACATGTTATTTTATTTCGCAGATAGAAATACCTATGCATGTAAGCGACTTAATAATTTACATCTTATAGTTAAAACATTGGTGAATTTTCATATTATTCATTTATTTCATCTTACAAGGTCTATTGAATTTGTAGACTTAGGCTTCGTTTGGGACGGCTTTCTTACTGCTTTTTAAAACGACTTTTTACTACAAAAATTTTAATTTTTGTTTTAGAAAGCAGCTTTAAGAAGCAGTTAAAAAGCCGCCCCAAACAGAGGCTTAGGCTTCGTTTGGAACGGCTTTCTTACTGTTTCTTAAACCAGCTTTTTAATGCAAAAATTTTAATTTTTATATTGAAAAGCTGCATGAAGAAGCAGTAAGAAAGCAATCCCGAACAAAGCCTAAGACTTCATTTGGGACAATTTTTTTACTGCTTTCTAAAGTCGTTTTTAGTACAAATTTTTCTACATCAAAAAATTTTTGTTTAGAAAATAGTAGAAAAGCTGCCCCAAACTAAGCCTTATTAATACTTGAATGTTATTTTAGGTATTGCAAATATATGGAGTTCAAACCCGTCGTAGCCCTGAGGGCCGTCCTTGTAGGCGGAGTTGCTGCATTTGCCAAAGTGGCTAGTGTTGTGAAGGCTGCCGGTGGTGTAAAGGTGGGCGCAGCAGCTGCTGCTATGACTGCTGCAGCAACAGCAGCTGTTTCGGGAACCAAGAACGAGGAAAAAGATAAATGAAGTTATAATTTTGGTGGATCAAAAGCATTTTTGTTTATCTATAAAAGAATTTCTAGGCTTTTCAATGTTATGACAGAAGTTTCTGTCTTCGCGAATTTATTTGTTATTCATATCATATGAGTGTATATCAACTTATGCTACATTTCATTTAGCTACAGGAAAATTCTCTACAAGCTAAATTTTTTGGCCTTGTGAGCTTTTTTTTTTTTGTCTGTCATGCTTAATTTATACCTATTAATAAAGTTCTTGCTTCACCCATGAATAAGATTGGATCCAATATATTTTAAGTTGCTGTGAGTGTGGATGATGCCTAAAACATGAAGCTATGGTTTCATTTGGGATAGCTTGTTTTACTATTTTCTTAAACAGCTTTTAAGTATAACTAAAATTTTTATACACAAAATTTTTATACTAAATAGTTGTTTTAAAAAACAATAAGAAAGATGTCCAAAATGAAGCCTAAGTTGTGGAGCATCACAACTAGAGGTGTCAATATTTGGCCATAGCTATGTTGACTTAAGGACTATGAGAAGGTCCATTCAGATATGTGTTGGATTTGCAATAATCGAAATTGTTGATTGAAATAATGGAACTTGTTAATATTCATATGAGTGTTGAATAGTAAATCATGTTATCTATTATTTTATCTTCGTTGCATAACTTGGATATTTAGCTCATTATACTCTAATTTTGATAGAACTAGAGAGAGAATTGAAGGAAAACTTGAATTCTAGATGTCAATCTTAGAGTCTAAAGATATGTATTTGAATAGATCTAAAACTGAACACAGTGAGTGTAATTTTAGTAGTAATAGATCTAGTGGACGGATTGTGACTTTGGATAATCAAGTCATTAAAAAGAGTACATATTTTAGATATATTGGGTCTATTGTCAAAGGGATGCTGAAATAGGTAGGGATATTATTAGTAGAATTTAAGCTGGATGTTGAATTGGAGAAATGCAACAGGCTTGTTGTGTAGTAGGAAAGTATCCCTCAAACTTAAGTGAAAATTCTATTAAATGGTGGTGAGGCCTACAATGCTTTATGGTGCATAATATTAGGCATTAAAAGAGAAGCTTAAAATTAAGTTAATTGTTGCAAAGATGAGGATTGACTCTTAATAGACACAATGGAGAAAAAAGATTTATAGTGTAGTGGGATAAAGGCTTGAAGTTGTCATTGTTGTTATTGCAGAGATGAAGATGCTTGGGTGGATGAGTGGCTTCACACTTAGAGACAGAATGCATAACGAGTATATATGTGAAAATGTTGAAGTAGCTTTAGTGGCAGATAAGATTAAAGAGAGTCATCTTAGATGGTTTGGTCACATAAAATGTTAGGTTGGTGATGACCCGGTTAGGAGAGTAGATGTTATAAATTTTGTCTATGTTAAAAAATATAAGAGGTAGACCTAAAAAGTCTTGGTTAGGAAATATTAGAAATGACATTGTTTATTAGATTTAAATGAGAATTTGACTCTTAATATGACACAATGGAGAAATAGGATTCATGTAGCCGACCCCATGTAGTGGGATAAAGGCTTGATGATGTTGTTATTTTTAAATAACTCGGTACATTAAAGGCAACAACATCAACAACAATCATTGCAATATGACAATCACCTTTAGAATCGAAGGAATTGCAATTTTGTTGGGCAAGAAATGTCATTTCCACCTCACCAATATTCAACTTCACATGTATTTGGTTTTCTCTTGCTACAATTAGGGATGATATTTTCAATAAAGAGTATTTTCGATAACCAACATCAATGAGGGAAATAGCACTTGTTCAATATTCATACAAGTATTATGTACATGTTTCACAAGATTATGGGCACAACATGGGTGGTTTTTGACATCCTCATAATCTTGTTGAAAAAGTTATTCATGTTGGAAACCTGAGATAATTCATCTAATAGCTGAGTTTGGCCTGCATCCCAAATAGGTGTATAGGTGGTACACATATTTGATGCGATGAAAGTAATTCTTAGAGGAGGTGAAGATGAACATTCTACCACTATTTTAAGATTATCTTTGATGGAGTTGGCGCTAATCACTCTTATTTATAATGATAAATTGGGAATTGACAATTCGTATGATGATGTGATTCCCATTACAATTCTCATAGTAAACTATCAAAGTGGCAACATTATGATAAAGACATGAAATTCAATAAATATCATTTTTAAAGTGTCTATAAGAGAATGGTTCCTGATCCTTTTAGGTTGGCACCAATAATAGGGTTGCTCTATAGTTTCTCAAGTAAACACAAGGAAAATAAATGAATAATTGTGTTATATATTACTTGGGGAGAAGGTGATAAAAAATATACAATAATGGTTGACTTGATTATGATCAACAACATAAAGATCTGCATCATAGTATTTGATCTTTAACTTATTAATGATATGATCATCCTACCGCTTCACCATGAAATTCTAAGCTAAAGGGCATGCACATATTGTAATTTTGAATGTGTTATTTAAGTTGGTATAAAACATGCACAAAAAGTTTAAGCGGCTCAATGTTTGATTTTTTGGACTTGAGACCTCTTAGGTGATTATGATAGTTGTCTTCTTAAGAAACTGGCTAAACTTGCACTCTCAAATTAGTATGTTCTTTGGTCTTGAGTATAAGGATGAACTCATTAAAATTCTTCATGCTAACCCAAAAGTTTTTGTTTGATTTATACCAGAAATGCCAAGAGTTAACATCAGTGTTACATCTCGCAAACTCAACATTGAAAAGTAAATAAGAATAACAAAATAATGAATTTAAGAAGTCGCATTAACATTGTCCAAGCAAGTTCACTTTGAAATCCTTAAGTTATTGGAGGTTGGCTTCATTCGCAAAATATGATACCCAAATTTGATTAATTAAATGGAAAGTGAAGGTTATGTATTTGTACTCTATAAATTTTAACTTGACACTTTCATGAGCTTTAATGAATTAGTCGACTTGACAATCAACTTTCTTCTAATGAATTTTCCTGACATATACTCGAGCTATCATTAACTAAAAATCTTTCTAATTGCAATATGAAATGTTTCATCACTAGCAACATATATCATTATTACAACATCAAGTTATTTGGGTTAAAGAATGCAGTGAGTGACTTGTCAAAGAATGATAGATTGTATGTTCAAGGATAAAAAAAGATGAAATATTGAGTTTTATATTGATGTCATATTTATAAAAATTAAGACTTAGCATAACCTATCTTGGATATGCATGAAACATTTACAACTTTAAATAAGTATAATATATATCTCAATCCATTGAAATGTAACTTCAGAGCAAGATTAGGTAAATTCATAAATTCATTGCTTGTTCTTGAGGGTATCCTCCCACGCCACCAGCGCTCGAGTCCTATAACTTGCCCCCCAAAAAAATGAACCTTAATAAATGATAGTTCTAGAGATGTCCCCATCTAAGATATTTAAGGAGCTTCAATAATTAATATGATTAATTATATAAATCTTAGTCACTTTATAATAAACACTTTTAGTGGATTATGGAACATGAAAAGATATTTACTTGAGTATAACTACTTATTTCATCACCATCATTGCTCTAAATCCACAAATTAGTGATGATTTGTTATATTTGAGTGTAAGAAAAGAAATGGTCAGTTTTATTTTTATAAAAAAAAAAAATAATGCCTATTTACAATGCCAATAAGATCCTACAAGGTGGAAAATTAAGATATCGTATCATGAAGTAGTTATCCTAAGTATTGCTTGTCACCACTTGGTGGCTTCAACCATTCTTTCTTGTCTATTAAATTGAAGGCATTATCAACAATCAACTATGAACAATTCTAACAAAATAGTATCACTTAGAGCTACTTTTGAAATGATTAGTGGAGCTCAACGAGATCCAAATATCTTATACATCGAGTTGGCTAATGAATGAGCGTAATGGAGCTGACAAATAAAAAAATCGAGTATTGAATTATCTGGTACAAAATTTAGAGCATAGGGCCGGTCATCAATAGGAAATGATGATGATTGAACATAATATTGGTTTGAATTTATTTGTCTCAAAGAGACAAAACCAACTCTTCTAATGATTTGTCAAGCAAACAACTATGGAAACCATGACAATTCTATGAAGATATGTGGATCGAATTTAAGATTAACGGGAAATGGCAACACATTATAGCTTCGTTTGGGAAATTTTGTTTGCTACTTTATAAAGCTATTTTTTAGTACAAAAATTTTTAATTCAAGAATTTTTTGTACTAGAAAGTTGTTTTAGAAAATAGCAAAGAGGCCGTCCCAACGAAACCTATATCATTTTCTGCTTTATTTTTTTTCCTTTAGAGCAACATGGCTCGCATTTTCGTCATTTATAGAAGTCGCAATTGCGCCAAGGAGTTTTTGTCTTCACTTGCTTTTTCAACTAATTGCATGCAAGATTATCACAATTCGTTAGCCTAAGGTGAGTGCTTGTGGCAAGGCTTTTAAGAGATGGTCCTGACAAATTGATCAAAGTGGCATTGGTGGTGGGACAAAAATTGAGGGTTGACATGTGAGTGTCATTCATGGAAGAAGAAGGAAAATCTTTTTTGTTTTTCTTTGATATTTTTGTGCCCAAAAGAGCTCAGATTCCTTCGGTTTACAATTTTGGGATTATTTTGAATATAAGTACTCAGAAGTTGGAGTTCGTTTTGTTATTCAAATAATTTTTTATATGTTTAATTATATTTTCAAGTTAGCTTTTTGAGGTTGTATGAACACAAATGTAAATGATTTTAGTATTACTAGATTTGATTTGTTGAAATACATCATCTCAATCATAAATTTTCTATAATTGAAATTCGGGTGACTTCCAAATAAATTTTGAAAATTTAGAATTTAATTTTTAGCAATTTTTTGTCTAGAAAAAATTGTGACAAAAAATTGCGAAAATTCTTTCTTGAGCAAATTGATTTTGTAAACCATGTCAAAGAAATTGTTTAAATCACTATACTTATTATCTAAATACACATTTATATTATGATATTTTAATCATAATATCATAAATGACATTTAAATTTTATCTTTGGTGATAATATAATGAATATATTATTCATGATAAAAAATATAACGATAGAAAATCATGTTTGATATGTACAATCCATATTTTGAATTAATTAAATATATTTTTAGAAGTCATTATAAGCCTGATTTGCAAACTCTTTTCACC